AAGTAAGCCAGAAAGATAAAGACCATTACATATATATACATATATATATACTAACACATATATATGGAATTTAGAAAGATGGTAACGATAACCCTGTATGCAAAACAGAAAAAGAGACACAGATGTATAGAACAGACTTTTGGACTCTGTGGGAGAAGGCAAGGGTGGGATGTTTCAAGAGAACAGCATCAAAACATGTATATTATCTAGGGTGAAACAGATCACCAGCCCAGGTTGGATGCATGAGACAAGTGCTCGGACCTGGTGCACTGGGAAGACCCAGAGGAATTGGGTGGAGAGGGAGGTGGGAGGGGGGATCAGGATGGGGAATACATGTAAATCCATGGCTGATTCATGTCAATGTATGACAAAAACCACTACAATATTGTGAAGTAATTAGCCTCCAACTAATTAAAAAAAAAAGAAAGAAAGAAAATACTCTGCATTTGAGAAGAGTGTTATTCTGCTACCATAGAATGGTCTATTTTATATATGAGGATGATGATTTAGTCGTTAAGCTGTATCCGACTCTTGTGACCCCATGGACTGTAGCCTGCCAGGCTTCTCTGTCCATGGGATTCTCCAGGCAAGAATACTGGAGTGGGTTGCCATTTCCTTCTCCAATATTCTATATATGTCTTAGTCTATATATGTCTGTTTGATCCAACATATGGTTCAAGTGCAATGTTTCCTTTCTGATACTCTGTCTGAATGATCCATCCATGGCTTAAATGGAGTACTGATCTTGTTCTAGTGTTGTACTGTTGCCTGTTTCTCCCTTCAGATCTGTTAGCACTTGCTTAATATATTTAGGTGCTCCATATATACTTATAATTACTACATTTTCTTCACAAATTGATCCCATTATCATTATATAGTGACCTTCTTTGTATCTTATTATTTTTGGCTTAAAATCTATTTTGTCTGATAGACGCAGAGCTACACCTGCTTCCTTTCGGTTTCCTCTTGCATGGAATATCTTTTTTCATCCCACCACTTTGAGCCTATGTGTGTCCTTAAATCTGTAGTGAGTCTCTTACAGGTGGCATGAACTTGCCTGTTATTTTTCTTTAATCCATCTAGTCACTCTGTGCCTTTCATTGATGAATTCAACCCATTTACACTTAGAGTAATTATTAACATGTAAGGACTTGGTAGTGTTCTCTTATTAATTGCTTATGGGCACTCTTGTAATTCAGTCGTTTCTTTTTTCCATTGTTTCTGCTCATCCTTATAAACTGGTGCTTTTCCATGGTGCTTTTCCATTTTCTGTTTTCCCTTTCTTTATCTTTTGTTAACCTTCTCTAAGTTTTTAGGTTAGCTTTTTAGGTTATCATGGATCTTATATAAAACATGTTCAATATATAACAATCCATTTTAAGCTGATAACTTTTTTCACATTCATAAGTTCCACCATTTATTCCCTACTTTTATATTTTTGATGCTACATTTTACCTATATTTATATTGCGTATTCACTAACAAATTATAATGCTAGATTTATTTTTAAGAATCTTTTCCTTTAACCTTTACCCTATAGCTGAGTGGTTAACACACTATCATATTATAGTTGGACTATATATGACTGTTTACCTTTACCAGCTTGTTTTATATTTTCATATGTTTTCAAGTCACTAACTGATACTTTTTCATTTTAGCTTGAATTCCTTTCAGCATTTCTTGCAAGGCAGATGTAGTGGTTAGGAACTCCCTCAGCTTTTGTTTGGGAAATTCTCTCTCCATTTCTGAAGGAAAACTTTATTATTCTTGACTGGCGATTTTTTCAACACTTTGAATATATCGTTCCATTCTTTTCTGGACTGTAGGGTTTCTGCTGAGAAATCTACTGGAATAAGGGTTCCTTTGTAGGTTACAATCTTTTTCTCCAGTTGTTTATGGTATTCTCTTTATCTTTGATTTTTGACAGTTTCATTACAATATGCCTTGTACAAGGTCTTTTTGCGTTGAGATAATAGGGTGCTCTATTAGCTTCGTGAACTTGGATGTCTATATCTCTCCTCAGGTTTGGCACATTCTTAGCTATTATATTTTAAAACAAACTTTCTTTCCCCTCTTCTCCTTCTCTCCTTTTGGAACTGCAATTATTCTAATATTTGTACATTTGATTGCATTCCAAAAATCACATCATCTGTCTTTGTTCTTTGTCATGCTTTTTTCTTTCTTCACCTCTGGTGGATTGTTTCAAAGTTCCTACTAGCTAGATCACTTATTCTGTCTCCCATTTGGTCTACTCTACTATAGATGCCTGATGCCCTCTATAGCATTTTTCATTTCATTTATTGAATTCTTCAGCTCCAGAATTTCTGTTGGATTCTTTTTTATATAATTTCTATCTCTTTGTTAAATGACTCATTTTTTCATATATTGTCTTTCTGTGTTTTTTAATAGCTTGTTGAGTTTCCCCAAAAGAGGTATTTCAAATTCTTTGTCAGATTTCAGTATTTTGTGCCATTGAGTTCAGTTACTGGAAGACTCTTATTATTCTTTTGGTGATGACATACTTTCTTCAGTCTTCATGTGCCTTGTAATTTTACAGTGATGGTTTTGCATTTCCTATAATATCTGGGATTTTCCCCTGAACTTGTATGGATATACCTGCTCCCAGAGGCTTGTAGACTTCTTGCTTAATTACTGAATATGGTCAGCTTAATTGCATCCCTTTAGTGTCCTTTAACATTCTTATCTGCTTCTTTTCTGATCTCCCCACCCTAGTCATGGAGGTATTGCCTCAGTAACACTTTTTTAGATGGACTTCTCCAGCAGTGTCTTGAAATGCCAGGGAAGACATGCGCTCACTCACTGCTATCCTTTTCCTATGCAAGAGAGGACACTGCTTGCTAGTTCAGCCCCAGGCACTGTTGCCGTGGGGAAACAGCAGTACAGGCAAAGCTGTAGTCTTCACTGCATCCAAACTCACATTACTAGTATTTTTCTCCAGCTGCATGCAGGAATCCCTCCTCTGGAAAGCTACATTTCTACACTCTCTGATCCATAGGTTTCTGCCCAAGTCTGCACTCTCCAGGTTTTCCTTGGCAGGGGCCGAGAAGAATTGGGGCAAATTCACTGACTCCTGCTAGTTTTGAGGCCCATACTGGGGTCTTTCTGACTATTACTAGATGCAAAGGTGGTCAAGAGTCCTCCTGGATCCCTTGGTGTATGGTTCTGGATCCCACAACACCCACTGAGGCACTTTGTTGATGTATGGATGCCTAATTAGTTGTTTAAAGAGTGGAGGACAAAAAAGAGAGATAGCTCACACTACCATGAAGCTAATCTCACTCTGGACTTAATGTAGTGGACAGTGGAAACATTGATTATGATTAAATAGAAAGATCACATGATATAACTTGTATTAAGATTGGTCTGGTATTTATTATAAGAAAAATAAGATCCTTAAAAATATGATCTTTTTATTTAAAAATATCTACATAAAATAAAACAACTGGGAGGAGAAACACAAAGAGGTCTATAAAAATACAAATAATTTTAAATTCTATAAAGGAAACCATCTGGTTTAAACCAGATGGTTTAAAGAGAGCATTTTATGGGCTAATCCAGAAGTTCCAATGAAATTATGTGCAAGAAATCTGAGAATTTCAGTATAAGAGGCAACAATACTAGAGGGAAAGAATGGTTTAACGCACCTTAGGAGTATGCAGCATACATTTGACAATATTGAAACAACCTTAAAAAAAAAGAAACCTTACTTTCTGACCTAGAAAGGAGTTAGGTCATGTCAATTAGCCCCCAGTAGTCTTTCTCCCAGAAACTCTTGAACACATTTTTGAGAATAGATCCCTAAAAGGGAAGAGCTAAGCTAAATGGAGCTTTCAGATATCCTCTGAGTTAGCTTGCTGAGACTCACCTGCAGAGGTATTGTGGGGAGAATCCTGTTGCTCAGATCACAAAGCAGCAGAATCTTTACAACTACCAGCATCACTGATTTCAGTCCTTAGATATCTGTACACCATGGACACCATCTCTGTCAGATGACAAGATTATGGATGGCAACACTGTTCTATATTTCCCACTCAAGGAGTTTCAGGTGCTTCCAGCAGTTATTTCCAAAGACTACATTCAAAGAGCACAGAATTTATTTGAAAAGATTTGTACATGTAGGGGCAAAAAATGGTGGGTAAAGTAAGAATAAAACTTTTTTTTTTTGCTAATGTTCCTATCTTGGTGAATGCACATTTATATTTTTTACGCTGAATTTTTTTCTTGGAATAGCGTAATGAAATTTGTGAGTTTCGAATACTATGAATATACACTGAAATTTACTTAGTATATTATTTATTCATCTGCAGGAGAAGTCTTCTAACAATGTTTGTTATTAAATATCAGATTACTTTAGGACTACCAATGTGTTCTAGCCATTAATTTTCTCATGGCCTCTTTAACCTCCTTGTTTCTGAGACTGTAGATGAGAGGGTTCAACATGGGGATTATGACTGTGTAGAACACAGACACCACTTTGTTTTGCTCAGCTGAGTAGCTGGACTTGGGCATCACATAAATGAACGTGACGGTCCCATAGAACAGAGTGACTGCTGTGAGGTGGGACGTGCAGGTAGAGAAGGCTTTGTGGCGCCCCTCGGTGGAGCGCATCTTCAGGATTGAGAAAAGGATGCAGATGTAAGAGAGAGCAATGATAGACACAGTGACTACAACAATTGAGCCAGAAGAGATGGCTGGAATTATTTCACAAGTAAAATCATGAGAGCAAGAAAGTTTCAAAAGTGGCGAATAATCACAGAAAAAGTGATTGAATTTATTTGGTCCACAGAAAGACAGGCTTAACAAACAGCCTGTAAATGTCCAAGCATTCACACACCCACCTAGATAGGAAGCCCCTACTAAGAGAATGCAGACTCTGGGGGACATGTGGGTGGAGTAGAGCAGGGGCAAGCAGATGGCCGCATAGCGGTCATAGGCCATGGCAGCCAGCAGGAAGCACTCAGCTGACCCAAATGTGACCACAGAACAGAGCTGAGCTTCACAGCCAGCAACACTGATAGAGGTTCCTTCCCTGAGGAAGCCCATGAGCATGAGAGGTGTGACTGATGAGGAGTACCCAATGTCTACAAAGGCCAAATGGCAGAGGAAAAGGTACATTGGGGTGTGAAGCTGAGGGCTGCTTCTGATTAACATGATTATGCTGATATTGCCTATTAAGGTAACCAGATAGACTCCCAAAAACACAATAAATAAAATGACACAAACTGTAGTATCCTCTGCTAACCCCAAAATAATGAACTCTGTCACAGTTGTGTAGTTTCCAGTCCCCATCTTTACTGAGAATGGTGCCCACTGAAAGAAAAACAAGTGGATATTAGAAGAAAATATTATAGTCCGCATACTTAGTTTTACAACAGCTATATAAGAAAATACCAACATATATACTCACGTGTAAATATTTGGGGAAAATGTTTTCACACATGATATCTTGCATAAGACTTAAAAATATAAATGTTCACTGATATAAGGCCAGGAATACTCAGAAAAATCTGTTTTTTTAACTTAACACATTCAAGTCACTTTTGCATTGTGTATTTGGTTTAGGTGGTCCATGAGGAATAGATTCACATGAGCACATCCTAGAGATGGCCACCAGACTGTATGAGCGACCCAATAACTATATCTTCTAAGCCAAAGACATGATGAAAAGGAATAGAAATGTTGGAACGGGCCAGGACCCATGGAAAAGAACAACTGTTCAAAATATGTGAGGTATCATTTCTTGTATGAAAGAGGATGAGCAACTGAATTTAAACAGGTATCACAGTTTTCAAGCACAACAAATATCCAGGAAGTTTGGACAGGGGCAGGATGTAGAACAAGGTGCTCAAACCATGATCAAATCAACCTGGAGAGACTGAGTTTTGGAAAAGGAGATGGTATCATGTTAGGATCAAGTTATCTGATTCATGATAGTGAGTCAATCCAGGTAAAGGGAACCAGACACATTGATCAGATTACTCCAGAAAGATTCCACAAGTACCTGAGACTTTGCATAACTTGGGCTATGGCTGTTAGGGAAAAGGTTCCAAATTTCTACTTCTCACAGGTATGTGAATAGCACCTGTCTGTGAAAAATCACACCTTTAGGTCAGCTTCTAGGAAACTCTTTCCCTTATCAACTTGTTTGAGGAAAAAAAAAAAAAAAACATGAAAAAGCAAGAAAAGCATGAGAGCTTTCTCACCATCACAGAATGCTAAGCTTCAAAATGCAGCCCCATCCATTCCATCTGTCTCATTTTAAAGCTAGAAACTGAGATCCAAAGAAGTTGTGTAACTAATTTTAGGTTAAATGTCTTTCTTACTTGAGCTCAAGTCAAATTTCATTCCTGGAGCCTTCTAACCCATTACCACATTGATAAAACACAAATATTTTCTATACGTTCTAAAGAAGAGCATAGAATATCAGAAAGTATAGTTGGTTCATTTATATGTTCAAAAAGTTCTTCAATTATATTAATACATAAGTAATATCTTTACTGTTAAAAGGATGACTTTGAAATTTAGTAATTCATGTAAATACATGGCTACAAGGTAATGACAACTCTGTGAGGCAGATGATATATGTACTCAGTGCCCCAATACAGAAAATTGATGTGCTCTTGTGTTCAACTGGATTATTAGGGGTCCTTGGTAGGTAAGAAATCAAATTTAACTAAGATTTTTTTTTTTTTTTGGAGAGCAATAAAAGAGGTAGGTATGACATTTGAGAGTAGATGCAAGGTAGAGAGTGAAACCATCATTATTTAAGCAGAGCATTTAAGATGAATGAGTACATGAGATGGGTAAAGCCAACAAAAAAGTGTCAGGCCCCCAGGGAAATGCGTTAATTATTCTACTAAAAAGAATGAGCTAGAAAGACAGGAGATGGTGATAGTTACAGTTTGAGATGCTTAAATGAGATTAAAAGCTGCAGTTATTGGCAAATGACACTGTCTAGTAAATCTGACAGTGGAGTGACTGGATACAGTAGGGAGGAAAAAGATCTTTGGAGGCGGACTCAAGAAACTGAGAGGCCATAATGTTCAAAGGATCTTCCCTACGAAGATATTAAAACCACAATTGCTGTCCACCAGGAATTGTGACAGGAATACCATTAATAGAGCAAGCCAAAGCCAAAAACTTTTCAAGGATGAGGAAACATAATGCTAGTTAGTAGGTGATTGCAAAAGGTGGAGGAAAATAAGGAGGCTTGGTTAGTAGAGTCTGATAATGTAAACTCAACTATAAGTATTTGTAGTTCAAAGAGAAACCATGTCTGTAAGTGGCAGTGGAGGAGAAGGAATACCACCCTCTACCAGGCCCAAGGGTATTAAGAATAAGAGAAAAAACATATATCTCTTGAGAAGACTGTATAGGAAGAAAAACGTCCTCAGGGTTAGCAAAGCGTTAATATCTATTGAAAAGAAGAATGAAGAGAATGGAATGCTCTAAAGAGATACTGAAGACACGAGATTTTGTTGAAAATTATGAGCACAAGAAACACAGGAAAAAGGCTTCAAGAGTTAAAAAGAGATGAAAGCAGGACCTCTTGATTCAAGAGAAAATAAGGAGACTTGAAAATAACCTTCCTTAACTCCAGTTGAATGGAGTTAACGTTCAAAACCTGAGTAAAGATAATTTGAAAAAATAATGGATAGATACTATTATGTTGTGTTTAACAGCTGAATGAACAAAAAAGGGAGTGAAGGCTACTCCCAAAATTGTGGAGGAGGGGTAAGGAGGAAAATCAGAGCCTATTTTGAATGTCAGTGATGGCATGGACCAAGGCATTGTGAAGATATGCCACGAGCTTTGCAGCCATATAGGCCTGGAATCAGATTCTAGCTTTACCACTGATTATCTATGGAATCTTAGACAATTTATAAAAGTTCATCAACCCTTCATTATTTATTTGTTTCTTTAAAAAGTACTTCACATGATTCTTGTGTTAAATACGATGATGTATATAATACAAAGTACTGCTCATAGAAATAAGTGGACTTAAGAAAGGATTATTACCTTGAAGTAACCCAAATCTTAAGTTCTAATACAAAAATGAAAAACAAATATTATTGTATCAATAGAAAAGGAAAATTATTACCTGCAGATGTTTGTACCCCAATGATAAGGACAAACTTCAAAAACTCATTGTAAAGCAAGGCTATATTTATGAGATTCAGGGTCTTTGGAGATGTAATCCCTTGAGTTACATTACTTGTTTGTGAAAATTCCACTGGAAAGCTATCAGGACAGAGAAAATTTAAGGTATACCTGCTCATATAAACATGTGTCATCTCAAGAATATCTACAAACATTTTTTGTCTGTTCATTAGAGTTTTCAAAGTGAAAACTTTTGATGCATTTCTAAACTAATTCTAACTGTATTGGAACATGCAAGAAGAAACAAAGATACAGTGTAGGAGATGTAATTTCAATTCAAAACAGAAATCCTTCTGGGAAAAATAAGTGTGTGCATGTGGTTGGGGGGAGGGGTTGGCTGTGGCTAGGCAGTGAATATCAAACTAATATGAAAAGAATGGACTCAGGATTCTCATGGTACATGGTTTAAAATAGTTAATATCACTATTGTAATATCACAGATGTTAATAGCACCTGTGATCACCTAAAATAAAGTGCCCACTGAAGACAAGTCTTTAGATGATATAATACCCTAGACAGAATGAAGAGTTTCAGAAATTCACTTACAGCAGTGTTGGATCATCTCTTCTAATCATTCTAGAAACCTCATGGAGAATTACAGATTCATATTTGTTAGTCCTTTGCCTAAATAATGGAGTGAAACTAAGAGCTATCAATGACTAAGTTGTAATTCCAAAGCAAATGCTGATTCTGTCAGTTGATATACTACAACAACTGAGTTCAACATCTCTGTAGACATATAATGTGGAATTTAAACTATAATCAGAAAATAATAGAAATGAAGAGATACTGTAAGGTTTTGATGACTCAGATTACCCTGAACCTCCTACTCTCCTGGAGCGTTTGCTAGCCAAAGAAGCTCCTCTTTGCCTGTATGATGAGGCTGCTCCTACCTTGCTTGAGGACACTCTAATGACTTCACCTAAGGAAGTTACCTTTCAAGGTAAACAAAAACTCCTTATGCCTCATCCTTAGTTGTTTCTTTTTCTTTGTTTTAAAGTTCCCAACATACTCAGGAGACATTAAGTCAAAGCTGAGGATATAAGATTTACATATCAAAGAGTTTTAATATTTTCCCAATTTATTTTATATTAGTGTATAGGAATGGTATGAAGGTACCAAACTGAGTATTTGAGTACTTGAATACTATTAGATACTATGATAGTATACTAATTCAATTCTACTAGAGTATTTGATTTATGATGTACAGTTGGCCCTTAAACAAAGCAGGGGTTGGGAGCACTGATTTTCCATGCACTAGAAAAATCCGTTTTTAATTTATAGTTGACCCCCCCCCCCACCCACATGAGGTTGGGTTCCTCAATTCTGCAGTTCTGGATTCAACCAACCATAAATCATGTGATATTGTAGTATTTAAAATTGGAAAAACTCTGTGTATAAATGAATTTCTACAATTCAAAACTGGGTTCTACAAAGGTCCACTATAGTTGCAACCACCAGAGATTCTAGATATGCTAGCTAGAATATGTGGACATGGTTCTGTTTGTTTAGTTGGTTAACTAGAACCTAAACTGAAGGATTCCCTGAGTAAAGTGAATTTGGAAGCCAGAAAAAATTGCCTGGTATATGCAGAAGTAATCGAATGTTTGGAAAGATATGGAAAGGTGACCTGGGTGTATCATATACAGCCCATTGCCCATGTATGCACCTTCCAAGAAGAGCTGAGAAGCATCTTCTACTCCACGACACTGAGAAATTCATTGGTGAAGGAGCATAATTATTTTTAAGAAGAAATGAAACAGCTATTGTCTATAGCCCAAAGATGTGGGTGCATTTGTGTCAAGTCACTTCAGTCATCTCTGACTCTTTGCAACCTTATGGACTGTAGCCAGCCAGGCTCCTCTGTCCATGGGGATTCTCCAGGCAAGCATATTGAAGTGGGTTCCCATGCCCTTCTCCAGGGAATCTTCCTGACTCAGAGATCAAACCTGCATCTCTTATGTCTCCTGCATTAGCAACAGATTCTTCACCACTAGTGTCACCTGGGAAGCCCAGAGATGTGAGTGGGAGATATCAAATTGGAAATAAGATCAAATTTTGAATACCATATTATAAATAATTGCCTTATCAAAATTGGCGTGGTGCTCTGAACACATGTATATGGTTGC